TGTGTGTGTGTGTGTGTGTGTGTGTGGGTGTGTGTGTGTGTGTGTGGAAGGTGATGTTTAGTTAAAGTTAATTACAACCATAGTTGTAGAGGTGAAACGACTCAGTTTCCAGCAGATTACAGCAGAATCTGAGTCCAGATTACAGCTGAACCTGAGTCCAGATTACAGCTGTAATCTGCACTCAGATTCTGCTGTAATCCGAGTCCAGATTACAGCTGTAACTGAGCTCTAACTGGTCCACTGGTTGATGATATATTTTGCTAACAGGACAGAAGAGGCTGACCTCTCTGAAGGACCTCAGTCTGCTCAGAGTCTTCTCCCTCTCCTGGTCCACCCACTGTTTCCTCCTCTGCTCCTCCTCCTTCCTCCTCTCTCGTTTCTGCAGACAACACAGGTCATTACTGTGGATCCTCTGTGGGGGGGGGGCTTGTTGCCGTGGTGACGTACCAGGTGGACCTGGTGGTGCTGGCTGAACAGTAAGGAGCTGTGCCTGGCAGCTGCCTGCTTCTGCTCCTGAGCCTCGGTGCACTGATCCTGCAGAAACACCAGATTCAGAGACTATATTTAATCCTGAGTTTAATCCAGGGTCTGCTGTCTTGAAAACACAGGGTTTCACCAAAAGGTTTTAATCTGACCTGATGAAGGAAGCTGTTACTCAACATTCTGTTCTGGTTTAATCTGGAAACTAAACTCCTGGAGCCACCTGAGCCCCACCAGGTGAGCTGATTAAASAACAAACTGAACAGATTTGATTCATTTTTCAGAAACTCTCCATCTAAAGCTTGGTTTTGTTGGGAAGCAGGATGTTCAGGTTGTTTGAGGACCCGCTGGGAGCTAGAGGAGCAGATTAGGTTGGATTATAATCTCAGTAAAAAGCTCTTATCACTTAATCTGATACATTTAGGTGAGATATCAAACTCGTTTTGAGTTTCTTTAAGGAAACAAGCTTCTTTTACATTTCATGAGTTCTGATGACTGTAAAACATGAAGAATGAAGATAAATCTGCTGAAACCATGTTTCATTCTGTAGACCGACTGCCAGAGGCTTTATAGTAGTAGTAGTACTTGGAG